CGGAGGAGCTGGAGGAAATGTCTGGAAAGAGGGAAGTCTGGGCATCTTTGCTTAGACTGCTGCCCCCGCGACCCGGTTTCGGATAAGCGGAGGAAAATGGATGGATGGATGGATGGAACTTAAACTGAATTGAATGATCTGATTACACCATTGACAGATTTACACATCATCCACCCAACCTCTCTCCCTCACCCTCTCTCTTTGTCTCTACGTGTATATTAATGTGTGTTTTCCCTCTGGAGTAAAGGGTGGCGAGTACCTGGACGTGCAGAAGTGAGGAGGTGACAGCAGACACACCAGTAGCTGCTCTTGTTCTTCCCTCTCAGGCTCACACCCACCGATGCCTTCAAGCTTCCACCAGAGCTCCTTACCCTAGAGCTATGTCATGGAAAAGCTCAGTCGTCAGTCAGCTAATATCTCAATAGATGGCCGAGACTCAGATTATCCCAGGCTGCAGCTTTTGCTTACTGTCCTTCACATCCAAGCACATTTCTGCCAGAATGCAACTCGAGCTTTGAGCGCTCCATGACATTTCTCTGCTAAAAAAACTTCCACACTCAACCCAAGGACAAATGTTAGAATGTAGCCTTCATTACCATAAGCCTTGTATACTGCTGATAGTCTGTAGAATTAGAGCACAGTGTTGACCAGGGACTGTTTTTTATATCTGACTTACCTCAGAAAAAACAAGCCCTGCAGAGCAGCCTAAAACTACACTGTAAAAATACATACGAGTTCTGACCCTTCTCTCAGAATTCTGAGTGGCCCTAATCCTCTTCTGTATCAAACAGGTCTTGAGCAAGTGTACATATTAGAATCTATGTATATATTTCTTTATTTAAAATAACACAATAGTAAAAAACAAAAAAACAACAACCAAAAGTAAACGACTAGTTTTTTATTTTGTGCTCTGTGGAGAGCAAGAAGAGCTTGTGTAGTTTTAGCCATCTGGTTTTTCTTGTTTTCTGTTTTGCTTAAAGGAGTAGTTTGGGATTTTTCAACTTGGTGTTAAAACAGTATTGATGTATCCCTGTATATGCAAGAATAGGTCTTCGCTGTTGTCACTTCTCTCCACACTGACCCTGAATGTTTCCACCCAGAGCGTCACTATGCTGCAAAACATTAGGAACGAGCTACTGTACGTAGCTCTAGTTCTGTTTAAATAGACTAACTTTAAAATATACTGACTCGAATTAGCTTAGGGGGACAGCTGAAGCTGCATCTGAGCCTCAGATGAACTTTGGAGTGCATGTTTTTACAGAATGAGAGCTGTGTAGTTTGTCCCTCATTTTTTGCAGCGTGGTCACATTCTGGATAGAAACATTCAGGGTCAGTGTGCACTAGAGGTGTGACAACAGACTCAGCTCATGAAACGAGATGATACTACAGGGCGAGGTGATATTTTAAGAACTCTTCAATGACAAAACGTATCACTGCAAAAAATCATATGTGTGTTAAAACACAGCAGGGAGTTGCATTTTTAAGGGACTAACATGAACACTCCGTCATTCAGTTCTGCTGCTCTGGTTCTGGTATGTACTGATATCACAAAACAGCTTTTCACCTCGGCAGTAAATAACACGTTATAACATCACGAGATCTTGTCACACCCCTAGTGTGGAGAATAAGATAAGTGACAACGACTAAGGCCTATTCTTGTGCACAGGGATACGTAAATATTGCTGTAGCACCAACTTCAGAAATCCCAAACTAATCCTTTAAGTCTGTACATGGAGATTTTTGGGATTGCGACACGTCCCGCAGTAGCCAGTTCCAGCTTTGCCCCAGAATTCAACCTTTTAGCTCTGAAAACAAACTTTAATCACACATCATTCATAGTAGTTGTTTCTTTTCTTTGCAGCTGACACTTGTCTTTACACTCTCCAGTTTATCAATGGTAAAGAAGATATTTTTGCAAAATGGGAGAATAATTTAAGGATTTGATTTGGAAGGTTTAACATTATTTGTTGTTCTCAACTTCGTAGTTTCTTTCCTTCTCAGTCTAGTTTCGAGATTTTGTATGTTTGAGTTCAAGCATTGCCAACAATCAAGTAAAAAAGTTAGATGCCTTAGAAATTACATTCAAACTCCACATTTTGTACTGTTGTTATATTTAAGGTTCAGTGCACTGACTTCTTTGTTATTATTCTTCATTGCGCTTTTGTGTTTTCTCTAATGTGAAGCCGTTGTCTTGTTTAATGTGTCTATGCCTGAATTAAGTGGATTTCTGTAGCTATTTCTTTAAGAGGAAGGATGAGCATCGAACAGCTTACTGGGTTCACGGTAAATGTGATTCACGGCATGAGGTCACCCTTATAAGGAAAAGACATTTCTGTTTAATTCATGTGTTGACTGAAACTTGAAATGATCTCAGAGACACACTGAATCCCCCTTAGACACGATGCCTTAAATTAACACCCACTCCTCATTTAAATGTTATTTCATGCCGACACACTAGTGACACGACTACTGAGGAGGGGTGGATGACTGTGACTGCATATATGCAAATTTAGTTTAAGGGCAGTTGACAACTTGGGCACTCTGCACAGTTGTCATACTTATCCTTCCAATGCACTGTTAGTTTGCTGTTTTTAAAAACTACCATATGGAAGTAAACTTCCGCTAAATATTTGAGGAAGCATAATCCACATTTTGAGCACTACTCAGCATTTGAGAGCACGCACGCACAGATTTGTAAGTGCAGAATCAGATTTGAGAGCATAGTCCAGGCCATGCATGCTCTCATTTCTTCAGTCTTCATACTCTTGAGTTCTCCACTGGAGTTGGGGGCAAAACAAGTTGTGAGTGCTCTTCAGTTTGCAAACTAAAATATGAGTGCACCCAAGCACAACTTTGTTAGAGCTGAGAGCAAGGGAGGACAGAATTGTGAGTGTACATCGTCCCTCACTCTCAAATGTGATTCTGCTCTTGCAAATCTGTATCTGCATGCGCTCGTAAATTCTGCGTTGCAATGTGAGCAGTGCTCAAAATGTAGTTAGTGCACCCTCAAACATTTTGGTGGGGATTTACTACCATACCACTGTTAAAGGGTTTTGGATGTTTGAAATCTATAAAATGTCTTTTAATGCCTTAGAGCTGTAAGATGTCAAACTTAAGCCAATTTACCAACACGTTTGTTTGAGGTTTTTGAAAATGAAACCAAATAAAGTGACTGTTCTTGGAAAAAAAACTGAAAATTTGTCTAAGTTAGACAATGAGTTTCATACAGTGCTACTTCTACCTACTTATCTTATTGTAAATGCTTAGCAAAAATCAATTCTTAACTCCATCTCAGACTGAGTTTTTTCTTTCTGCCAGTGTTTATGGACTTCTGCTCTGTTGATTTACAGGCATTTTATCACAATTTCTTAATTATTTCCCAGTAAGTTTCCCTGGAAAAAACTACTGGTGCTATTGTACTGTATTTTGGTACTAATTACATCAAAAATAGAAACGGTGTTCAGTTAAATAAATAAAGCAGGTAAATAAAGCGCTCATGCATTCAACAGGTAGACAACTATTGCATGTTCACTTTGTCTTGTCTCCTGTGGACACGAATGTTACAGCTTTAACAATATGTTTATAAACAGCACAGAGGTTTATTAAGTTGCATACAAGTTTTAAAAATAGCCAAGCTAGGACGCTGATTTGATAACCGGGCAGTCAAATCAGATTTTGTTTTTTTTAAATGCAGTTACCAAATGCATTACTGAACCTTAGAGGCCATCAGCAATGAGATATTAGCAGAAATGGAGCTAAACTACGGAACCAGTCTGGCCACTTGGTTCAGCTCTGAACATGTTCACGTTTCACAGAACCGTTTTCTAAATACACACTGTATTGTTAAGCACTCTTTGTAGCATCATTATCAAACCTCAGTTTGATCAAATCTGTACCTTCAAACCGCTTCCAGAGTCACTTCTAGTCCGGCTCAGTTTCTCATGTCTTTTTCCACTCCTGTTCGACAAAAGGTCCCTTTTCACTGCAGACATTTGGACTCCTCAAAGCAAAAAAAAAAAACAAACACAGGTGTAAATAACTTTATCACAACTCCATGCCTTTAAAGGTCCCAGTAAGCCATGTCCGTGAGTGAACATACACAACATCAGAGCTCTGGAACTGGCTTCAGTCGTCATTCATGTTTATAACTCCATCTGTGCTTTGACAAATTAAGTCATCTGTCTTAAACAGGATGCACTATTTAAAATTAAAATACCTTAGCATAAAAGTGTCCACAGTAAAACTAAAGTATCACAAGTGAATGTATTTTACATTAAAGCATTTGATAAAAATTAGTACAAAAAATTCTCTTCTACAGCGCAATAACTACACTGTTGTATAGTAAACTGCTGTTATTTTACACATTTCAGAACTACAGTAAAAATCACTGAATTCACTGTTCAATAACCTTAGTGAATTATTGAGTAACCACAATTTGCTTTGTCCTTGTAAAATATGCACTGGAAATTTAGTTTTTAGTGTGATTAAAAAAAAAAAAGAAAATCTTACATACCTGTGCTTGATAATTCTGAGTTTTTGAACATGTAGAGAGAGACTGTGATGGGTTTTGCTTATTTTATTAACAGCACTGTGCATACGTCCAAAGTGATATGAGCTTTAAAAACCATCAAAAAGACTATTCAATGACTTTGTAATGATGACAAGCGACACCGCCACATGGAACAACTGCTCCCCCTTCTGGCAGAAAGTCAAAGTACCATAACAGAGTGATTGAGGATTACAAGCATCTCTGAGGCTGAGCACTGATCTGGGACCTGGTTTATCTTTCAGGTAAGAAACCGAGGCCTGTCACAGAGTAGCACTTAATCAGGCCTGATGCGGCAGACAGAACAGATTAACATGCACAACACTGCACAAGTGCGCCTTCAGAGATCACCAGGCACAGATCAATACCTACAAACCGTCTTCAATAACAAGGCCTTGTGCTTAACATGGTGAGGATTTGAAAACATATGGCACTGCTCACCAATTATTCATACGTAAACAGAACCTTTGGAATGGGAATGCAAAAGGAAATCAAACACCCATTTTTTTCCTTTTCATAGGACTAACTTTATACAATTAGCTTTTCTTTAGAGTGACAGTATCAAAGCACAAATTGGTATACTGCCTGAAAACAAAACAACGCAATAATGACACTTTCCTTGCAAACATCAACAAAACATTGGTACAATATTGAGGATTGTGGAGCTCCCTGTCCATTACCCATCATTCAAGAAGTTTGTCAAGGCAACTAGGAACAGAAACAGATTAAACTAGATGGCCAGACAGCACAGAGATGGCTTCCAGTCAACAGATCCCATTACCCAAAATAGGCTAGGGCTGATTAGTTATTGACATGACCTCCCCAAAACTTCCTTCATATGCTGCGAGAGGTTCAAGACAATGTACCTACAAGCTCCTTTAATTTGTTACTCATTCATAGTACCTGAAAATGAAGCCATCTCTAGTCCTGCTGTGAAATAATACAAATAATGTTCAAGTTATAGTGTATTTAAAAAAAAAAAAAAAAAGGCTACCTGTGTGACTTCATTACATGGATGCTTTTGGCTACGACTCCTGGATAAACGGAGGTGAGCAGTTGCTGTCTATGCCACTCAATCTCCTCTGGTTTTTGACAGCCAGGGTGAACGCCACTTGTTTAGATTAACAACATTCCTGAGTTATTTCTTATAGGTGGCCCGAATACTGATTTCTATGTAGACCTGGGGGTGGGCCAGCAAACCCATGAGCCTACTTTTAAAAGCAAAAAGCCTCAGTACATCCCTCCCTTTCAGTGAGGAGGACTGCCCTTGGAGAAAGGGAACGTCAAAGAGAAGCATCGATCCATTACAGAATGGTTGGTTTCTATACCCAAAGCATTTTGTTTGTTTTATTACTGTTGCTGTACAGAGTCTACTTGTGGAGAACAAATTTATAAAAACTAAACTTTTCAAACACTGAAGAATCGACAGCTTGAGAGGGATTCGGGCTCACAAACCGTACTTTCAAGTATGCTACATTATGGTCTGGAGAAACACAGATGATACTGTCACTTCGAAGAAACAGGATGACATTAAAACACAATATTCACAAATGTACATTTAAGGCTTAATTGTTTAGCACTAACAATAGCAGCAGCAGTGAAGCACTTCTGAATTAATTATAATCATATTTATGACAACATTACAATAATATATTACCAAAGTAAATCAATGACAATTTTTTCTTTCGTTTCAAAATCATTGGACTGAGCTGACAGAAACCTGAACCAGCCAGCCAGTGAACAAAGACAGAATGAAAATGTTTCAGCCGCCACAGATCATACAGCACTAGCCTGTCTGGTACTGCAGGGTCGTCTACATTAGTACGTCCTCTAATAATCTCACTGCCAGGCTCTACAGCTACACTGGGCCCTGCCATGAGTTAGAGCAGTAGTACGTTTACAGAGCACGAGTCTGAGTATACTGACTGGAAATCCACATTCAGCTTGTACAGGATCAGGGGTTCGTTTAAGAGCAGGTTGTGAGGAGCAGGTCTGGCAGAGACACACACACACACACGCGCATGCTCACTTAAACATACACACACGGACACACGCTGCCATTCGACAGTCCAGACCTGAAACCATCGTCATGCTACTTTGAAAAAATACAACGTGACAAAACGGGCATGTTTTTCTACAAAAAGAAAAAAAGTACCAAAGCGATGTGGTTTTCAAAGGCCGTAACAGGCTGAATTAATCAGAAAAAAGCTCAGCTGCATGTCCTCTAAACAGCTGCTGAACAACATGTCCTAGAGTGAGGAAGACACCCCAACTCTTCCGCTCCCTTATAAGCACTTCTCCAGTCTGACAGAAAGGGCCAAACCCCCTTTAATCTGGTCCCCGTCTACCCATACTGCTTGTACCAACAGTGACCTTCAAAGCTGAAATCATTTTCACATACTGTATATGCACATATTGTATATATTACACACATTTAATAGATGTATATTTATTCATATATTAAATTCTCATATAGACATACATTTTTAGTTTTATTTGTGAGGTGTTGGTTACATTTTCAGCAAGAGGCTTTGACATGAAAATTAAGAATGTCTTTCCAGGATTCCTATGAAAAGTCTTGTGTTGTGGTGTCCCATCAATGTTGCACAGGTGTTCAGTCAGTCGCACAGAGGCTTTCTTGAGAACAAAGAGGCCTGCTGTAGCAGTTTTAAAAAGGCCAGACACTGTTGAAAGCGCATGGAGTGCAGGGTGCAGAGACCCAGAGATGCTGTGAGCTAGCTGGAGTAAAAGCCAGTTAAAAATCCACTGGGGCGTAGGGCTAGGGCGTCAGCCAGCACCGGAGGTGGTGCTGCAGGCAATGGGCTTTGGGCTTTGGGCTGGCCTGTGCCAACCTAAACCCAACCAGGTTGGGCCAAGCTAGGGCGAGAGAGCAAACACTAGAGTGGCACAAGGAGTGTGCTATGTAAGAATATGCGCACTAGAGGGAATAGACACAAACTCACGTAGGATATTTTTGGCCATTTCAATATTGTTCTGTGCAATCATCAGTGCTTTCTGGATGTCCTGGTAGGAGTATCCCTGACTCATGAGGTGCTCGATCTCACTAGTGATTTGGGGGTTGGCTTCTCCTCCTGTTGCCCCACTGTTAGGTGGAGCAGGGACAGGTGGGACAGGGCTATGTCGACGCTCCGAGCTGATTCGTCTGGGCAGGGGCTTTGGAGGTCTCTCTGGTGCTTCGCCCGGCTCTGAGAAGGCTAAAATAATGGGGAGAGAGAGTCAGTACACCTTTAAAAGGGTCTAGAACATGCTCTAGCTGGAATTAAACAGCGTAACTTCCAAAAGGTCAATATATGCTGGTCAAGGTGAATGAACCTTTACTGTAATGGAAATAATTTGAAAACAATCCTGATCTCTGTAATTAGACATCTAAGCAAAATGCACACCGAGTTATAGGTTGTCACAGGTCCACTCGGCTCTGAGGACCTGAGACACGACCCAGGATCAAGAGTTACACTGGGTCCAAATTGTGATCTGTCTAATCAGGCCATAGTGACCTTGGGAAAAAATGAGGTGGATCATATTAACTGATTGATCATCATGCTGCTGCCAATGTTCGTCCTCTCCTTCTGTTCTTGAGTCAACCACATTTAAGATCAGGTCCACTTATCCTCAAGTCTGGGTTGGGTCTGGCTATGCTCGTGTCGCCTTTGGATCAGATCTCTGTTTTTTGAAAATTTATCTATGCACATGTGGTTCTAGCAGGCTTTCCATGGGTCTGTTTTGGGTCGGGCCTCAAGTTTTGGACCCATGAAGACCTCTACACAAAGTATTTGTCTGAGCTAAGATAAGTGTTTTTTTAAATTCAAACTACATGGTGAACTGGTTGACATTTCCACTGCAGTGACCTTTAATAAAGCACTCATGAAGAGCCCAATTATGATCTTAGAGCTTGCCAGCTCCACTGAGAGCCACTTAACTGGTCCTCAGATACAAAGAGTCTTTAATGGAACAATCAGACACCTGGCATTCACCACTGGCAGTAAATGTCAGCTTGCTGCAGACAAAAGCAGATTACTCTGAGAAATAAAAAGCTGTCTCATAAATAAACAAAACTTTTAAAGCTGTGGCATGCACTCCCAAAAGGTTTCAGCATTAGCACTATCAACCAAGTTCTTATCATCAGGATGGAACTGAAGGGCTCTCGATAATTACAGGTCTTTATCCATTCATTCAAGTAACTTTTCAACTACGATTCATCAGAAATCGCAATTTCTGTTGGCAAGGAAGGACCTGTACAAAAAAAAAAGCTGCTGCTGTCAATTTTTACATCCAAGCAACTTTATGAAACAGACACATTTTCCATTCTTGTCAAATGGTATGACACCAACAGTGTATAAAAGTATGATTTTTAAATGTCAGGCCTCTGGATATCCTAAAGATATGAGGCTATTTAAACTACAGTAAAAAACTAAATCTGTCATGAAATGCCTTGTTGTTAATTACTCCATAATATGGGGGTATTTTTACAGGCTACATGTAAATATAACTAAATGCTCAGAACTATCACTACCACTGTACAAAGGGCCAAGTATACTTACATGCTGCAGCGCCAGCATCTGCTTCTAAAGAGTGGCGACTGAAAGCAGCTGTGGATGATGAGCATGATGAGGAGGATGAAGATGAAGAAGCTGAACCCCCTAGTTCGGAAAAGGTCCGTCGAGCTGGCGGCATTGGCAGCCGGGGCTTTGGAAAGTCATAGCCATTTTCCTCTTCTTCTTTGTCCTCGGATGTCTGGTCTCTGGGCCCGTTGGTTGTTGCCAGAGGGGGCAACTCTGAATAGTCTGGCAAGGATGGAAAACAATGGGTTAGCACTGCAGTATATGCACTCTATGTGTGACTAAACAAGGATTCCACATCTTCCTAGTTTCATTCATCAACACAAATCATTATACAAACATTGTCAGATGACTCACAACTGTAACCAGAAAAAAAACAGCTTAAAAAGAAAATTAAGGGAACACTTAATCACAGTATAACACCAAGTCATTTACACTTCAGGGATATCAATCTGTCTATTCAGAAAGTGACTGTGAATCAGTTTCACCTGCTTTGGTGCAAATGAAAGTGACAACAGGTGCAATGGAGAGGCAAAAGCAAGACAATCCCCAAAAAGGAAATAGTTTTCCATGTGGTGGCAACATGCTCTCTCCTTATCCCTCCTGACGGACTCTTCTCAAGGTTTGTGTTTTGCTAGTGTCCTTGTCACTACTGGTAGCATGAAGCAGTACCTGCAGCCCTGTCAGGTTGCACAGGTAGTCCAGTTACTCCAAGATGGCACCGCCATACATGCAGTCACAAGATTTGCTGTGTCTCCAAGCACAGTCTCAGGAGCATGGAGGAGAAACAAGGAGACCGCCCATTACACCAGGAGAGCTGGACAGGGCCATAGAAGGGCAACAACCCAACAGCAGGACCTGAAGGAGCACCATGAGAGCCCTACGTGACCTGCAGCAGGTGTCTACTGGTGTGCATGTTTCTGAGTAAACTGGCAGAAACTGACTCCATGAAGGTGGCATGAAGGCCTGACGTTCCACAGTACAACCTGAGCTCACAAACCAGCACTGTACAGCTCGAATGACATTTGCCAGAGAACACCAGAACTAGCAAGTCCTCCAATGCGCCCCATTCTCTTCACAAGTGAGAGTAGGTTCACACTGAGAACCTATGGGATATTATGTATTGGTGATGTCGGATGCACTAAGTACCAACCACAGACGTTTTGTTCTGAACAAATTATACAATGTACATTAGTAAAGGTTTTCAAATTGAATAATTCGTTCATCAAGATCAGATGTGTGATTAAAGTGTTCCCTTAACTTTTTGGAACAGTGTATAAGTCACACTCATGTCAACACAGTAGGTTTATTTTGTCCAGATGCTGCGGAACATAGTCAAACTAAAATTCTAAAATTCTGATTGACTGGCTCCTCTCGGTGCTGTTCCACCAGCAGTTAATTTTAAAATAGAGATAACGCAAATCTCTGCAGGTAGTAGACAGAAAGGGCTGTAGCACAGAGGTTTAACATAGTATACATCAAAGTGACTCATGCAGTTCATCTAAGCTGTCCTCATCCACCCGAACTCACTATGTACAAAGCCTGGTGAATACCTGAATCTCTAGCTTGTTGTGACCTGGCCTGGACGTTGTACATAGCTTCATACATTTGTGGTCCATCCTCTAGTTCAGCCATAGTCAGCCTACAACCACAAGCAATAATAAAACAATGATTACAGATATAGTACTGCACAAAACAAAGTAATTTAAGACGTGTTGCTGGAAGGGGATGCACCGAGTGTTTTGAATACCGTGAGTTGAGTGTGAAGGCTTGGGTCTGTGTTTGGAGTGCTGAAAGAGACTGAGGCTGGGGGGGCCTCGGGACTGGTGGGGTCTCCCCTGCAGGTGCTGCTGTGATGGGGGGCAGGACAGGGCGAGACGAGGGGACCATGTAATCCGAATCCTCCTCGCTGTCACGTGCCTCCTCACCTGTCACTGGCCTGAAGGCTGAAGGTGGTCTGAGAACAAACAGCCCAAGAATACTTATGGTATCATGTGCTATCTGTGCCTTTATTGAATGTTTTTAACAAACTGATCTGCACTTGCTAAAATGATGTCATTTTAATGTCATGTAATGTCACTGTAGTGCCAGTGCAACGTACCTGTTTGCCAGTGAATAGATAGCATTGGCTGAGACTGAGGGCTTGACTTTGGGGTTGTCATAATCTTGAGAGGTTCCTGTGGCAAAATTCTGGAAAGGAAGCAGGAGGTGAAATCTCAGAAACTTTAATTATTTGACGAATATATTCACTATCAAACTCTAGAAACCAAATACCAGTTACTGTATGTCAAAGGAATTGTTCTTTATTTTGGAAAATATGCTCAGTGGAGTTACATGAAAAGACTGATGCTACTCTTGCTGCTACCCTCACTCATGAATGCTAAGATTATCTAAAACCCCGCTGCTGTAGGTTTTATTTAACATCCTAACTCTATGTGTAGTTCTCAAAATGTGAAACTATTCCTTGAGCACCCTGTCAAAATGTTATTCTAATGCCAGTGAGACAGCAGGGCCAAACTCATGGGAGCAATGTGGACTTTACAAACATTAACAGAGACAATGAATGCACATTTCATCTCATGTCACTGCTGTAAGCGATCCAACAGTGGCTGTGCAGCGAGTGACTGAGCTACAGAAACTGTACAATATACTGGTTTATTAGAAGACGGTGCCACATTTGTTCTTTCAGTTGCTTTATGTGGATAGAGCCTAGTAAAGTATTATGTGTTTCTAACTCTAGCCAATGAATACACATCAAACCAAATGGAGGCTTAGTGTGTGGTGTTTTGTGATTCCTCTGACCAGCTGGTGATCCAGACTGAGGGAGCTGTTGTTCTTCTGTGAGTCTGAGCGGGCGTCCAGAGCTGAGGGCAGTGCTAAGGGGAGGGAGTGTCGGTTGGAGAGTTCCCTGACACCTGCTCGAATGTCCACTCCCAGACTGGACACTTGGGTGGATGAGGAAGATGAGGAGGATGACGAGGAAGAGGAAGTGGGGGCCTTGGGAACAGGCCTGTAGTTCCAGTCAGGCAGGGTCCGGTTTGGAGGTGTAGGAGGGAGCTTATCTCGAGAGGGCTCCCCGGGAGTGCATGGTAAGGGCCGCCTCTGCAGACGTCCGTCAGAAGCTGTCCCAGCTGTGTGGGGGCGGTCTGGAGGAGGAGGAGGAGGAAGATCCCTCAGTGCTGGGGGGAGAGGAAGCGGCTTGTCTTTGTGGAGAGAAGCTGCCTGGAGGCGAAAAACAAAGATGGAGGGAGCTCATTTAGACTTCACACAATATTGATGTGTAAAAAAAACCCCAGCAACAACAACAATAACCCTGCACTGTTACACTATTCTCTGTGCTGAAAATAATCCATTTATCAACAAGATCACAGTGTGATCACAGATGTATTCGTCATCATAATCAGCTATATACATAATTTAGATAACTCCACCAAGACAAATTGATGTTTCTCATCTGCAGACAACTCCAGCTTCTAGTTTCTATTTCACCACATCTGAACAGAACAATGTGGTAATATCAATGTTTGAGTGATTGGAAATCCACAATTAGTTATATGCACAACACAAAATATTCATTTCAACACCTTACTTCTGTCAAGGCTGTAATAAGTGTAAGCATCATGTCAACAACAAAGCAGGTTTACACGAAACATCATTCTCAGATTTCAGTCCGGGTTTATTCTCTGCTTTGACTCCATGGATACAGTGCAAAGCTATGAACCAGCTGCACAGCAAAATGCTGTTTCCATCTAGACTAGATGTGCACTGGACAATCATAATACATACTGAGGATGATGTGCAACTGAAAGATGGAAACACCTTGGCCCAAGTTTTATTTTAATCATCATCTCTTGCCTCAACAGGGTGTTAACATGGTTGTGTACAGTATGTTCAGTTACCTTAGTGGTGACCCCTGGGCTGGAGGCGCCAGGGGGGTTGGGAGGTCTGTGTGGTACCAGGTCTAGTCTGGGTGGCACAGGAGGAAGAGAGGACTGAGGAGCACCTGACATGGGTGATGGGGGGCGCTCCACCTGGATCACAATCACAGTAGCACAGCACAACACATGATCAAATTCTGCTAAATGGGAAATGTTTTTGCACAATCAGCTGTTACCCTGTACATGATACACATGATGAATGCTGTTGCCAGTCTAAACTTCAGCTAATATTACTCACCCACATTGTTTTTTTAATGTAAGCCGAGCTTTGTTGTGTATAGACTGAGAGGAACACATGAGACTAGTTCTTTTCATTTCATTTCTCTTTAAATGTCTAAGTCACCTTTATGGCAGTTGTTACATTTTATTTAAATAAAAAAAAAGAACAAGCATTTTTTGTCTGTCTGTTGCCTGATTAGAGGAACCTGTCCAACAGAACTGTTGTCTAATGTGTTGAATTACAAATCAACACCACATCAAATTACAACTTCAAGATTTAATTTCTTCAGTTTTATCAATAAATAAATTCACCAAAATTATTTCAAGACCAAACACTTAAACTATAGCAGCACAAAATATCTACAGTATGAACATTTAAAGAAAGACTCAAGGAGGAGATAGAGGCAGGGTCAGCAATCAAAGGCAAAGAAATTCTAGGGACCACATCAAAGTGCGTGTGTGATCTCAGACATGCACCCACTCTACAAGCAGACTAATGCACAGTGTTTCTCAGAGGTACATAAAAAATGTAGGCTGGGAGAACACTCCTCATATCAAATAACGAGAGGCACACAAAAAGCTGCTTCGCCTTGGCACAGTGGAAGATAGAGATGAAAGACTTGAGATGATATGAAACGTGAACATGAAGCCCACAGGAAGTGGAAAGTGCAAGGCGGGGAGTGTTTCATCTGTACAGAGATGGGTCTCTCAGAAAAATGAAGAGGACAGTAGGAACCCATGAGGTGGACTGAGGGTGTCAAACTGACTAAGCCAAGCACCTTGCTGTTTAATCAATGGAAGATACCTGATCATCTGACTCTATCATGACTGAAAGCTCTGAGAAAACCAAGTTAACTTTTGTTTCAGTTAAGTCTAGGTTCTTACACAAGCTTACCTTAGTGCAGGCAAGTTTGGTCATCATGAGGTGGGGGTCTTCAAGTCTGTCATCATCATCATCATCATAGCTGGGTGATGGAGCACCCTCAGCCCCATAACTGCCCCTGCAGGAGCCCCCACTGTTGTCCTTGGGGTCAAAAGGATCCACGACAATAGGCTCTGTACCCTTAATCTCACAGCGACAGAAGGGACATCCTGTTCCCTGACCCTCGGACTCCTGTAACAGGCAGAAAGGCGGCTGCATTAGTGCACAGAGATGAAAGGAGCTTATGTGCCTTTATGTCTTTTACACGTCTACAGAGAAGAGCATTTCTCATCTCAACAGATATGAGTTATGACACTTAACTTGGAGCAACCCAACCCACACAAACCCCTTGCATCTGCCTACTCATACCTGCCAGGCAGTGAGGCAGGAGGTGCACATGAGATGACCACAGGGCTCAATCTTCACATCTTTGTCATTCTCAGCACAGATCTTACACAGCTGGAAAGTGGAACCCATCTCACAGTACAGCTCATATTGCTCCTGAGGGGAAGAAATGAGACAGCTATGTGCTTGATAAACACAGAGTAACATAAGATGCTGAGATCATTTTATTGTAGAAGAGCCTAGAAGAATATGGAGCAAAGTTAAACTGTAGGGGCGTATTTTTACTTATAGTCCTATGTTCAGGCAAAGGCTGGTCATACACACCTTTACAAAACTCTGAGACGATGTGCAAGTCTGACAAGATGGACCGTTTAGGAAACACCAGCTTGGATATTCTTTCACAAAATTTCACAGTTTACGTTTATGCATCTTGCTCATTTAATGTGTTCGCCAAAGTGATGAAATAAAGCACAGACAGATGGTTTTGACATGCATGAAATGTTTAACAACGCTGCAAATTTCTGTGCACTAACACACTCACTGCATTTACTAGCATATTTTATTAACCACAGCTGTACTGCAAAAATGATTCATCCAGTTTATTAGGACCTTGCTTAAACAGAAGTCAAATGACACCAAGTACTAAGTCTTTGGTTAGTCAGCTAGTACATAACCTCAACTAACTCACTCAGTTCCTGTATGGGTTTTTATCATGTCTTCTACTTCTGCTTCCTTTTGGTCATGCACTGGTGTTTCATTTTTTTCCTCTGACATCGTTCCTATACTATGTCCACAATAAAATACCAAACAACAACATGAACATATAATATATTGAATAGTGAAGAAGCGTTCTAAGAAGCACACTGACCTGTGTGACTTTGATGTGGTCTTGAGGCGAAGGCTCACACAGCCCTGTCAGGTCAGGGTTTTGAGTCCGGCCATCAGGAAATAAATAGCTGAAGAAGCAGAAGAAGATAAAAATAGAAGGTATGCACAGGAAGTATGCTCGGGTATTCTGACAGATTTACATTTAAATGTTATCATCCTCATTAGTTAGTATGATTACACTGCATGTATGCCTAACAGGATACAGTAGTAAAAACATCTGTTCAAAAATTTCATTCAATCTGGCAACATGTTTTAATTATATCACCAAGCTGATACGTCACTATTTTACAAATGGCTCAGATGCTGTAATTACCATTTGATAAACGTTTTTAGATGCAGGCAATTTAACTGCATAGGCTGTCCCAGTTTATGTCAGGATTTGATTACAGGTTGGGACGTGCCAGCTTCAGCTTTCATTAAACAAAAAGAATCAACACTGGCATAAAAACATGTGTGTCAAGCCAGCCAGCTAAACCACTGACTGAACTGCACATTAGAAACCAACAATTCTGTTCTGGCCGTGATAACCCTGGAACAGTGAGAACAAGCAATATGATATGGCTGGATTGGTTTAAAGCTGAAAGGCAGATTCAATCGCGGGATGCAAAACAGAGCTGCATAGCATGCGAAGATGAATAATTTGTGGGAAGAGGGGAGGAAAGAAAAAAAGAGAATCCCATGTATGGCAGGATGTTTGACTTTTAGATCATTTATTAAAACTGCATCAAATGAGGCCAGCCACAGAGAGACTGAACAGCAGATCAGAGTTCCACATGAAAGCCCCCAAGAAAATGACAGATGTGTGCTAAACAAAATGCTAGAGGACTTACAATCCTTCCCTGAAGCCATCTATAAGGGCCTGGAAAAGGGGTTTATTGTGGGGAATGGTCTGCAGTATGTTTCCATCTCCTGTCACGTAGCCGATGGCCCACTGGCCCAGCCGTGTACAGCTTAGTCGGAAGATGTAACTGGGGAAAGAGAAATGAGAAAAAAAAATAAGATCTGCTCATGTTATGTCAAAAAGGCAGATTTTATTACATTGAAGAAAGGAAAAAAAAAAAAAACTAGACAAATAGACAGGAAACAGTTTCTGTATGAAACACATTGTTCCAGGATGCACATATTTTTTAATGATCCAAAACAAGACCAAATGCACATACTGTATGTAGGCTAAACTATTGATGGAAATAAAAAAACATTTGTAGCCTTGAGTTTATTGTGAAGACAAAACCTAATACAGAAAGATGATTCACAGACAAGCCTCTACTTGCCAAAATAAATATCCACGCAACTGCATGGTGCATATCTGAATATTAACACTGTAGTAGTGCGACAATGCTGTGGTATGACTGGGCGTGCTTTTATCACCAACAGGAGGTGAAGAGGGGACTTTGGAACGCTCCGTAATGCCTAGTCGGTGCACCTATTTACAGTCAGGTAAGTTGGTTTGGAATAGATTATAACAAAGCTGCTGATGCTCATAAGACAGACGGGCAACTCAGAGAGGCCACATACGCAAGTCTGGCAAGACATGGGCCACTCAGTATCCAACATTTCCTGCCTGTGCACTTAAGCTGACAAATGTGCAAGAGAAAATGACTGAACTCAAAAAAAAGAAATCAGCTCTAGAGGCTATTGACTTCCTATGCATTGTTAGCCCATTAGCAGCATTCACAGACAAGCAGGAGAGCATTGAAATGTGATTAAGGTATGCCAGAAAACAAACAAACAAAAAAAAAACATAAGAGCATCACAATCAACCTTAATTAACACCAACTTGTCTTTTAGGGTTTCCTCGTCACTGACAAAACAGAATTGAGTCCAGTGATACAGCACAAGAGGAAAAAGAAGTTTTGGTAATAGCCTCAGTGTTTAACTTCAAAGTGGAACGCCTGCTGTATCACCACTAGAAACTGATTACTCCTGACAGTGCGCTGTAAATAAAAGTGTCACAAGGCTACACTCATCAGCCAGTAACTGCTCAGATATCTACACGGCCCTACACAGGCCAGGCTTAAACAGTAACATCAGCTTTCTGCATACAATCAGGCTATTGATGATAGGTACCAGTGCCATGCTGCCCTGGGGCCTCCGCACACAACCCTGCACACACATGCACGCCCACCGTAGCATAAATGGTATGTGTAACTGCCACCAAGACTGTACTTGTGCTCCATATGTTACTGTCTTAATTCAAAGCCAAATCTTAATCATTTGCACTTACATTATATGTGTGCGTTTGCAGCACTAGTCACTTCTGTAATAATGATGATTTGATTATGGACATTACACAAAAACAATCCTGGACAAGGATGAAAATAGAGCTACAATAAACCCGTTTCCATGCAGCTGTAAAAAGACGTGATGTGTCTCACTACGCTCCAGTAGCAGAAATAAAAGTGTGTTGCTCCCACAGAGAAAGAAATGTCACCAAATGAGAGCACATCTTGTGTTTAGACAGCAGGTTGATTTAGGCTACATTACAGGGTGTGTGCCTGAGTGCGTACATGTGTTTGTCTCACCTTCCAGGCTTGTGGATGAACTTCTGCAGACGTGCTTTGACCTCATCATAGGTGAGGAAGGCCATGTATCCTGGGTGTGTAACTGCCAAGCTGTTCCAGTTCCGCAGCAGGGATGACCAAGGCTAAACACACACAAGCACGCAAGAGAGGCAATGATGTGTGAGTGAATGCACACAAAAACCATATGAGCAGAGAAATGGAAAAATATAGAGCATCATGGATGATGCTGAAACAGCTTTTTAGCAAACAGAGGTGTAGTTTACAATGGCCATTTCAACCTGGGTCACACAATGCTAATAAGGTCCTTTGGGCAGGATTTGCAGCACTTAAAACAGCATGCAGCTCTTTTGATACCATCAGGAGCCTAAGAAGGAGGATGGATAAATGGTCACTAGCACACTGCTTCTCATACCGTATATAAAAATGGCAAAAGCCCATTTCACAGCTGTTTTTTTTTTTTAATACAGACTGCTTAACCCAAATTGCACCAAGACAACCTAACAACAACGGCAGAAGACTTTTGAATTAAAAATGCAAATGAACTCGTACTAGTCCACAGCATGCTAACTGAGTGTGATAGCGAGTAGGTGGTTCTGCAGTCGCTCTCACCAGTCTGTCTGGTGTGTGAAAGGAAGTAGAATTAACACATATGACACTGAAAATGAGGTGCAGAAGTCATGGCCACAGTTAGAGCCGCAAAACAATTCATATGTGAAAACATGTTTTTTTTTTTAGGCTAAATAAAAGGAGGGACTGTTCTCATTCTCTGTAGCTTCACCATATTTGTCCAAATTTAATATCTGTTGGTTATTTATACTTTTTGCACACAGGAAATAAGCCAACACTGTCTGACTCACCATTAGACTGTATCTCCACTAGCTTCAACCCTTTAGTGTAACATGATCACAGAGTAGCTGGGTTATTAAACAGAGGCGTGCTGAGTAATGTAATATCTAATGACTGGACATTTATTAATTAGCTGCAACTTACTGTCTGTTAAGACAGTAACTCACCGTTGTTTACAGTATATGGTTTACAGTTCACTATGGAAAGTGTCAACTTCCCATTATTTAGCCTGAATGTACTGCATGACATGAGACAGCTGAAGGGCTGTTAATGCCATAAAGAAAAAAAAAAACGTCTATCACCCCCGGCCAAGCTGCATATCACGAACAAAGCTTAAAATGGCCACACACTCACTTCCTCTTATGAATACACGGGCATTAAGAGGAGGACTTTTCTCTGTATGAGGGAGTGTCATAGGAAATGTCTGTAATCTGTTTAGTCTTCATTAAGCCTGTCGGTGCCCTGCACACAAGTAGCCAGGGATAATGTCACTGAGGGAATAAACACCACACTGCTGCATATGAGCTATGATCCAAGTGGTTTCACATCATGCAAACTGCATGGTATAAAATGGTTTTCATTTGGTGCAGTCAATTAAAATGCCAATATAAATGCCAATGTAAATTGTTTGCATGTCATACTATAGATAGGTCCTGAAGAGATGAACCCGCTTTCTGCCTTCCCCTTCTTCTAGACTTTCTATTTTTTCTTTCAATCCACCCTCCTTTCTCCTGCTGCTTCACTCTATACTGACGAGGACAAGGAGCTTCTGAAGTGCTGTGCAGCACCTGCACCACCATAAATATAAACTAACATACCCAAAATGAAATGCTTGGCTGCTTTTAGCCCTCACCACAACTCCCAGAGCATGTGCAGTGTTCTCATAGTGTGGTTTATCAATTACAAAGTTGAGTCAGAGTTTGGCAAAGTAAAACAACAAACTGATGACATACCAACACTCAACAGTCCTAGAGTGGAGACGTAGTTAAATTCCTGTCTAGGGATTTATTACTGATAGTTTGTCATTCATCTACCAGAAAAAGGACAACCTCAGGAGGTGCATATATAATGGTAACTGTCCTAAAGTAGGATCTCATTGCAACTCTCAAGCTGGAGAACACACACACACGACCTTGTGAGGAAACAACATGAAGGACAGAATAATAGCCAAACATTTTGATTTGTACTGTGCACACAGGGTGAAGGAAAATTTCAGCTTCAGTACAAATAAATCAGCAGGCATCTTCCTAAAAGCTGATATAGTTAACCTAAAAAAAATTAAAAAAAAAGTGGCAAATGAGTTTAAGTTCAATATGTGCTGCTCAAATGAAATTCGTTTCCTTCGCTCAGGCTAACAGACTGCTATGAACCAGCCTCTATTTCTTCTGCCACTCTCTTTCTTTGTACATTTCTTCACTGATTAACTCATGAGGAACTGACAACACAGGGAGAAAGGTGACGGGTGTGTGTGTGTGTGTGTGTGTGTGTGTGTGTGTGTTCATTACCTGGAATAGCCTGGTGAAGATGTCAAACTCAAATACAGAGATATAGTCATTGCAGGTGAGGTCTATGGTGGACTTGAGGGCCATGGCCTCCAGTCCAGAGCTAATGGGATGAAACTCATGGAGAGACTGACGGAACACCTTCCAAGGCACGATGGTCCTGTAACACAAAGCCACACTGATGATGACACGCCCCTGGAAAAATGTTGATGCAGAATACCTGCACGCTGCCTTGTAGCAATCCATGGCTTCATAAAGGTGTGGTGACAGTTTTGAGTTTAACTGTGTTTACTTGGCCTGCTTCTTCCATACATTACAAGCAGTTAAGTAACCAGTACCTGCATCTAATACACCATCAGAAATGCATACATGTACTGCATTTCTCTTCCAAAAGTTAAATAATGATCCATATGCAACAAAAAGCACATGCAATTTAGTACTCCCAGATATAGGATCATTGGTCACGAATGCCAACCTGATGTGATCTTTTAAAGAAATAGCTACAACAGATATGCAATGAGAAATCATTTCAATGCATTGAGGCCCACACTTGAAAAAATACTGAACTTAGAAGTTTCTCTAATGGTGGTCACAGTGTTGCTGCTAAAGATACAGAGCACACCATTGCAAGATAAATAGTGGAAATTTATATGCACTTACTTGATACTGGGAAAACCCAGCTATCACAGTGTGGATCACCATGTGGTTTGCTTATTTTTGTATGACCGCACTTGTCTTCCATCTGACTTTAATGTGTCCACTTACCGATTAACCAAGTGTGATGGTATAATACAACCATCTGACTTTAATGTGTCCACCTCTGATTAACCAAGTGTGATGGTATAATACATGCACTCTCATCGCTGGATATCTATTTGGCTTCTGTCTGTTTGTGAGTGTTCTTAACTGATATTGTATTACTATACTTTTATTGCTGTAGCACTTTGTGCTCTTGAGCTGGAAAGTGCGGTGCAAATAAAGATTATTATTATTATTATTGTTTACATGTCAAGGATGCAAAAAGACATTTTTATTCAACGGACCTCTTTGTTCAATAACACAACCACCGTCTCAGAGAAGATATTTTCTGTGTCTACTGTGAAAAAAAGAAACAGGTGCTCTCAGATATTGTGTATATTCTCTTAGAGTACTAGCTTCTAATTAAGTGAGTGAATTCAACTCATGTTCTTGGGAACAACCTGTAAGGGACCTCATAGGGTTCCAATGTGGAACTACTGGAGAAATATAATATTCTTTGTGTAAAGTAAATACATGACTGGACTCACTTGTCTCCAAAGGCACGCCTCCAGAACTCAGCAGCATCCGCCTTGGTGATGCGGAAGTTGTCGCCTTGAAACAGGCCATTGGGGAAGATGGCCTTAAGCTCAGCCAGCATGTGGCTGAAGATCAGCGACAGCTTGGTGAGGTTCCGCCTGCACAAGTCAAGAGTGGAGGGCCGAGTGTGAGATCACTATCACTGCACTGTTCTGTGTATAGTTATTAGCTTGATAAAGAATTACTTATTACAGAGGGGCGACAGAGAAAAGTGACAATGTAATAGGTTCTGATAACGCTGATTAGTTTACATGATAAGGAAAACAATAAGACTGACGAAATAGTGAAATAATATGTAAATATCTCCATAATAAAAATGTGCAACAAGCATGATATATTCAGCCATCTGTGTCAATGCAAAAGATGCAGTGATGCAAAGTGGCTGACTGGCAGCGACACACAACTGAACTTCCTAAAAGGTTCTGCAAACAAATGTGTATTATATGTTATATGCATTTATTTATTTTTTTTTTTACTTCTACACTTGCTTTCCAAAACATACCAAAGTGAACAAGAGCTGAGTGACATTGCTTGGCTCCCCCCCCACCAAAAAAAGGAGATAACACAGCAGCGTGCACAGACACACAAACAATCATATAGTGACTGAGATGTAGAGGCTAGAAGATCCTATTAAGGCTCTCCTTTTCTTGTTGCAGAAGCTTCATCAAAAGGGAGAGAAGAGAGGAAAGGACAGGAAAAGCGGAAGAAAGGGAAAATAAAGGTGTCAGAATAAGGAAGATGAGGAGAAGAGTATATAATTCAGGAGAAGAGGGTGCAAAAAAATGAGGAGAAAATAAGAGAATGAAGACCTCACCATACCCAAGGACCCCTTCACAGCTTTAGAAGCCTTAGGCAGCACAGGGGGAGATTGTGTTTGGCTGCTGGGCAGGGTGAATTGACATGCACAAGGGACAGCAATGAAAGCGTGGCTACATCGCAGCTGCCACACACTACACTACGCACTATGAGTGGAGAGAGGGGGAGGGTGCAAAGACTGAGGAAGGAGGACAGTGACGGAAAATGGATGAATAGATTAGTGTACATTGAGACCAGGCCAGAATAGACCTGTGCTCTTTAGGATGACAGTTCATCTCAGTGAGGGTAGACAAGAATCTGAAAGAGAAAATGCAAAGCTTGC